AGGAGGAGTTCACCACTCTGTGAAAGACTGTGTGGGCAAATAGAGCAACAATTCAAGAATAACGTTGCTCAACATAAAATAGCAAAGAACTTGGAGATTTCATCATCTACAGTACATAATAACATTAAAAGATTTATATCTGGAGAAATCTCTGTATGTAAGGGACATGGCTGAACCAGTATTGGCTAGCCAAGATCTTTGGCTCTTTCACCCTCAGGTGGCACTGCATTAAAAACAGACATGAATCTGTAGTGGAAATCACTGCATGGGCTAAGAAGCTCTTCTGAAAACCACTGTCTGTGAACACAGTTCATCACTGCATCCTAAAATGCAAGTTAAAACTCTACTATGCAAAGAAGAAACCTTATATAAACAGGACCCAGAAACGCTGCCAACTTCTCTGGGCCTGCGCTCATTTGAGATGGACTGAGGCAAAGTGGAAAAGTGTTCTGTGGTTCAAAGAATCAAAATTTGTTATTCTTTTTGGAAACACTGTGTCCTCTGGGCTAAAGACCACCAGGCTTGTTATCAGCACACAGTTTAAAAGCCCACTCATTAATTCATCATCAACTCATCATTGACCTCAGTATACAAAAATGACTGATTGTGATGGTATTTAAAATGGCAAAACACTATACTAAGATAAGCATAGTTTATTTATGAAATAGTTACAAAAATGCCTGCATGTTTGCAAAAATATGACACATAACAAAGATGCCACTGAAGTTACAAAGAAGCCAGAAATAGTGTTACAAAGATGCTAATACTTGTTTGATGTTTGTTTAATATCTAAATGATGCTTGAAGTGATCTGTAGACAATAGTTAAACTGATTTAGTAGTAATAATGTAATTACACTGTGATAGGCAGAGGGCTGGGTGCAAATAGTTTAAATCAGTCTTTCTTGGCCTACTGATGGGGGTAGCAGCACCCGTTATAACATCACCAGTGGTAGTTACACTGGAGATTTTGCATTTCTTGTTATTCATTCCTATGGGGAAAAATCTCTGAATGATACCTGTATGAAAACCAAACTTCTGATTGGTTCCAAAAAGCACAAATACATTATATCCATACAGGCTGTATGTTGCAACTACATCAACTTGACATCAACGTTGACAAAAGCAGCCTTTATTGCAGATTATGCCTCTCAGAATAAGCCTTTACAAATGTTATGTAGCTTTATGAACACCACCTACAGTAAAGTACAATACAATACAAAAACAATACAATGTATTAAGTGCCTTAGTTTATTTTGTGTTCAGCTTCAAGTGAAAAAACGACAACTGTGGCAAATAAATAAATAGTTCTCCCCATAACTCTAGTTATAATATAATAATGCTAGCAATTATTTCTAATATTAATGATGTCAGTACTAAATACTTTAGAGTTATATTGTAAGGGTTAGTATAAGTCAGTATATCTTAATGAATGTATGAAGTTCTAATTGATTGTGAGGTTTATAAAAGTCCAAGTCGAGTCTATTTGTGCATGCTGGTGTGAGTGTGTGTGTGTGTGTGTGGGGGGGGGCTTATCTTGTTAGTGGCGGGTGTATAAGGCAGGGTTAGGGCAGTGTGTGGCGGCTGTGCAGAGGGAAGCTATATGTCACTGTCACAGTGCAGCCAAACCTACAGCAGCACAATATACACCACCCACCACTCTGTCTCAGCCTTCAAATGATAGTTCACCTAAATGTATACAGTGCCCCTGCGCTCCAAACTGTACTAAGTACTATGTAATTACTGTGCAGTTACTATGTAATTACATGTGTATACTGTATAAGTATCAGTGTTAGAGGTATCTTGTGTGACATTTAGATATTTAAAACATCTTCACATAAAGGCTGTGTGAAAACCGTACATCCAATCCACTGAAAAACACCAAGCAGTCTGTTCAGGTACAATGACCTATGATCGTGATCGTGACAGAAATGTTTTGATAATAAAATAAACATAACATTTATGTTTGCATTTGAAATATAAATAAATCTTTTGAAAGAATGATGAGAAGGTTTCTATTAAATTCCAGGTAGTAACTAAGGTAGTTGGTAGGTTAAGCCAGGTAGTTGTTAAGATGTTGCTAGGCCATTGTTATGTTATCTGAGGTGGTGACTAATTTGTGGTGAGGTCATTGCTAGGGTATTCCCACGTAGTTACTAAGGAGTTGGTAGCATGTTGATATGGTATCCCAGGTGGTTACTAAGGAGTTGGTAGGATGTTACTATGGTATCCAAGGTGGTTACTAAGGAGTTGGTAGCATGTTGATATGGTATCCCAGGTGGTTACTAAAGAGTTGGTAGCATGTTGATATGGTATCCCAGGTGGTTACTAAGGAGTTGGTAGGATGTTACTATGGTATCCAAGGTGGTTACTAAGGAGCCGCTTGGCCATTGCTGTGTTATCCCAGGTGGTTGCAAAGATATTGTGAGGCCATTGCTATGTTATCTGAGGTGGTTGCTAATTTATGGTTTATTGCTATGGTATCCTGGGCGGTTGCTAAGG